TCAGTCTATTCCACCATGTAAATACGTAAGGCCTATTATGGAAATAATACAACCACCATGTAACTTTATATTCCGTTTTACAGACAGTACTTTTGTACGTAAAACTAACTAGATAATTAATATAATAAATTAACATCCTATTACTTATGTAACAAAGTGATGTTGCGAAATATTGTTGTAATAAATTTAAAAAACCAGAGTGGTAAATTTACCTTATTATTAAGAATAAATATATAGCCTTCTTAAAATAAAATGTTTCCTATTAAATATTTTCTACAACAACAACATATTATATAAAATATTTTTAGAATATAATTATTTATACATTGTCACAGCAATTAAATTAGCACTTAAATTCTGATATAAATAATAATTCTTCACTAATATAATATTATTTTTATTTGTCAGATAAATTATACTAATAATAAATTTAAAATAAAAGACAATTATAAAACCACTGTTAAAATATATTACAAATTATTAGAACATAACATGTATATTATACTACAAATAGACTTTAACTGCCCTTTAAGCTATTTATACAAACATACTTTATGAATAAAATGTTGTCACTTTTATAATATTGATACAGAATAATCGGGACTATAATAAATAATGTCGTTAAACAAATAAATTAAAACTTTTTAAGAAACAATTATAATAGGCATAAACGATGTTCAATAGAGACATATTCCTGTCAATAATAAAATAGTTAATATATAATTTATTATTATTTGTTACTAACATTATATTACTTTACAAGTACTGTATATTAATTAAATATTTTATTTAATGACTTGAAATTTAATTTCAAAATTAATAAACATAATTATAATAAGCAAAGTATAAAAAAACATATTTGCTAAATAAAATTATAAAATATATTAGAAATGAATTTTCAATTATTGATTAAAGTATTGTTAACTTTGTTAATAACTTTGTGTTTCAAATGTAAGTCTATTTTTAAAATTGTATATTTAAAAATTACATATTTTGTTACATATATCTATTATGTTTAAGGCAATTGTTATGATTATGACTACCCCTATCATCCCTACCATACCCACCACTCACACTATGGCCACCATCCTTACCATTCACACCATGGCCACCATCCCTACCATTCACACCATGCCCACTATCCCCACCATACACACTATCCCCACCATCCTCACCATTCCCACTCATCGAGGTAAGAATTTTAAATAAGGGTAAAATTATAATGTATTTTCTATGTGGAACTGTAGAGGTATAGCTAATTATGGAATAAATCCTGGCAAAGGTGATGGTCAATGGGTTCGTGTGGGTAATATTGAACGTAGAGAGATAACATTTGCACCTAGTGCATATCGACAGGTTGGCAAGAGCGTGATTATATCTGAGCAAAACGAGGAGGAGACTAAGCAACTTGCACCTTCCGTAGAGACCTCGGAATATAATTTACCAGACAGAAAGTATGGCAGAAAGTAACTTTTTTGTTCAAAATACACTGTGTAATTATGAATGTTTAATTAAAAGTTAATTTACATTTTTAAGATTATTAATTATTTTATGTATAAAAGCAACTATTAATTAATCTCAAAAACAGTAAAAAGGTTATAAATTAAATATTCCCATAAATGCACATTTGTAAATAGCACGTTTATTTTAAAATGTTTTGGAAACAGTCTTTGAGTTGCCGTAACAAACGGAATTTACGGTAATTTTAAAACAACCATGGTAGCTTGTTATTAACAAATGCAACATTAGAGAGCTGTTCTAACATAAATGATAACTTAAAACAATCTTTTAATTCAGAAATATTATAATTTTAATTATCTCATAAGTTTTTAACTTTTAAAATATTGTATTGAATACAATCAATACAATATTAAATTGAGATTATTGTAAGTAACATTTAATACTCTATTTAACTCAAATTAGTAGTACTTAATACTTGAAATTATAATAGAGTAAGTTAGATTTTACAAAAAAAAATTACATAGTACTTTTGCACCATATTATACCAAATTGAGTCCGGTTATATTTTTAAACATTATATAGTTTTAGTATACAGAGTATTAATAGTACAAATTATGTACATATACCAATAAACATTAAAGTGCAACTATTACTGTATTATTAATCTTTCCAAGACATTGTTATCAAGATAACTTAAATTTTTATATTGCAAAATAAAACAATACCTTTAAATTCAATCATTTGATGGATGGGTTTTTGTGATTAAATTGTTGTCTTGTTATGTGTTTTGATGTGTATATCAGTTATGGGTAAACACTTGACGGTAAAAGTATTCAGAGATTATATTATGCACAGTATTGTAACTTTATAGCAAATAAAAAGTAAGAACATCATGGTTTCTATTGACTACAATTGGCAAAATACTTTATAAACGCAATTTCTTATCAATTATTTGTAACCATTTTGTGAACACATTGTTTTCGTAATATATCATAATCAATTATAAATTAAAAATATAAATTAATGACCATTGTAAATTATTCAATACAATAGACATCAATAATATATTTTATTGTGCATGCAGGAATTATTTTTATAAATTAAAAACTTATCTCGATCAATTTTATAATGAATATGCTATACAAGGAAAATATTATGGCCGATGATTTTAATAGAAAGTGTGCCGTTTGTGGCGATCGTGCTCTTGGTAAATATTAATTAATTTATATATTAAAGTAATATTCTTAATAACTTTTTAAAGTAAATTATAAGTTGTATTTTATAGTAGTGTAAATTATTATAGATTTGATTAATTATTTAAACAACATAATTTAACCAGCTAATATTTTATTGAAAACAATTATTTACAATAATTTGCCCACTTCAAAATTGAAGCAAATATTATCACCAAGTAGTTTATATGAATTATTATTTGTTTATTTCAAATAAATTAATATATTGTACAATAATAATTTTAATATTTATAAAACTGTAATAAAGTAATAGCTATAAAATTGTAAGCATAAATAGGAAATACTGAAAAATAGTTGTATAGTTTTAAGTCTAGTTTATAAGAGTGTAAATGTATTGCAATACAAAAGGGCTATCAATGAGAGTGTGTATCAAATATGAGCTCAAAGAGTGTGTATAAAAGGACTATAAACATAAATAGTACCATGGTACAAAAACAGCGCTGTAAATGGTTAACCAAAGAGTGTGATCATGATCAAAATGTACGATAGCCCAAGTCCTTTTTTGTTTTACAGAATAACTATTTCTATTATGACTAGAAATAATAAATTTATATGATAAATTACTTACAATATTTATTTAAAGGTAACAATTTTGAAGTACTATCGTGTCCATCATGTAAGGCATTTTTCCGGCGCAATGCTACCAGAAATAAGGTATAAGATAGTTAAATAAAATATCCCTTGATATAATATTTGACATTTATTATGCAAACATTGATAATCAAACACAATAGCAATATAAATGCATTTACGATAATAACTGTGCAATTGATGTCTTAACGAGAAAATACTGTAAGAAATGTCGTTTACAAAAGTGCTACGCTATGGGAATGAAAAAGGTGATTTATTTTAAAATTACCTTGGTCAAATAAAGTTTACATTTATAATTATAATATACGTTAAATATTCCTAGGACTGGATTATCATGAACGAATACAAAAAAGGCATAAAACAAAATACCACTAAAAAGCAGCCAAAGGCTCAACATAAACAAATTACTCAATCCAAACCAGACATACCCTATAGAGCTGATGATAACCCATACACCACATTATACACGGAAAATATTAGCCAAGTATATCACTACTCGGGCGATACCAGCCCTACAGACACATCCCTGTTTGACTTTACCGATAGCCAATCACCGCCCATTGACTATACCATAGGCATGTATTTGAGCCCTGATGGTTATTATAGCAACAGTGTTACCCCCATCGATATACCGGACACTTTCGATGATATCCCGGTAGACAACAATGTAGAGCAAGAGATCGACACCGGAATTATGGACATATCCAGTGCTGTTATAGAGTTAGGGGTGTTGGCGAGCCCGGCGAGACCCCTAACCGATTACCGTAATCAGTTTAACGAACTTGAGGGTAATAAACTGCAACAACTATTGGCCGCCACCAATACATTTGTCGATTCGGGTGGTCGGGCATATACAACGAGCTTGTCTAGTATTTTGGGCATGAGTCATAGGCCAAACTTGTTGCAAAGGCACATGCGCCGACTGACCAAGATGTGCCAGAATTTGACCGAGTTTAATAATATTTGCGAGTCTGATAAGATAGCCCTGATGAGTTACGGCAGTATTGACCTGTTCTGCATGCGATCGTTGCCTAATTATGACTACACCCACGAGAGCTGGACTTTTGTTATGGTGTGTATTAATTTGTTTTAAACTGTAATATTTGTGTTAATGTTGCAAATAATATATGTTTTAATAACTATATTTATTTTAATGGTTTGGCTGCTGTAAAAAATTGGATGTCTATATAATATAGAGTCTATATTATAGACTATATTATTTATTTGTGCATTATCTAATAACATAATTTAGATTCTATATTGTAGAAGAATGTAAACTACAAACTGTTATTTATTGTTTATAGATGATATAATAAATATAGATTAATTTTTAATGTTATTTATCGGGACAAAGGCAGGATAGCAGCAATTTTAAAATTATTTAATTATTATAATATATTTTTATGTCGTAATATTTCAATGTTTATATAGATAATTATACACATATTATAAAATTACCATATATTTATATTTTGAAATGCAATTCATACTCTAGATTAATTATATTAATACATAAAACACATAATGTGTTCCACAAACTGTAATATGTTGTATAAAATAATAATGATGTGCAGTTATTATTATAGTTGAAAATTTGATTTGGTTAAATATTTCAATTTAATCATTAATTTATATTCATTAATATAATTTATTCATTAATTAATTTTTTATTACCAACAGGACAAGGAAAATTCCATCATAATAAGTCTGAATGTGCTGCAAAACATGCCCAGGGACACTTACGAATTGTGCAAACAATTTTTCAAATCCGTTTCCCAGGAATGGGACTCAGATTCTGTAATTCTGGACTTGGTAAGTAATTTATAAAATGTTCAATCCATGTTTGTTATTTATATAAAATCTGTGTATTAATAATTTTTAATTTAGCTGACAGCAATCATATTTTTCAACCCACATCGGCCCAACCTTAAACATAAACACATGGTTAAGTAAGTCTCTATAATTAACCAACTCAAATCAACACATGTAGATTATACCATAATTTCTCGCTTATAGACTACATCAGCACATATACATGCATTTATTGAAACGTTATCTACTATTACGGTATCGGACAGACACAGTGGCCCAGATGAAATACGCTTCCCTAATGAAGAGCTTGATCAATTTCCGGGTACTTGGTCAAAATGGTGGGACCAGAAAGGGTAGACAACGATCAGTGTCTATTACGGAAGACCCGGAGCAGTCTGTTCTGGACCGGCCGGCACTTAGCCTATACTCATTGGTGTTGAACAAGATATTTGAGTTCCAGTAGTTTATTAATTGTTGATTAAAATCAAAACTGTTTGAAATTGAATATCAATTACTGTATACAATGATATAATTTAATTGGCTGATCTATCATGTTAAATAAATTGGTTACAAATACGTAAATAAATACTAGGTTAATAAATAAAATGTGTATTTTAATAAATAATTTGTTAAAACAATATTAATGCAAAAAAATGTACTTAAAATCACCCAAAAATTATATAATTTAAAGTTTTTATATATAAAGATTTTATAATAAAATAAAATTTACAGTCTATGATTAACATGTGAATAATTAATTTTTATTATGTAACTGTAAATTTTAAATATAATAGTTTATTATATAAAATGTTTGTTAAACTATATGACTTTTGGACTGTATTTCCTTATCGTTTAATTCATTATTTAGTAAAAAATATTTCGTGTAATTGAATGTAAAATATATATTCATATTTGAAAAAGTTAATTTCTAGAAATTATACAAAATAATTGTGTTTTTATTTGTTTAAATAATTTTTAAATTAAACTTTACTTACTATCATAATTAACTTTAATTTATAGTTTTATAAATAATTAAACACAGGTTTATAATACCCCAGAATTTACATACAAATTAAATTTTATATGATATTTCCATTAATTTATTTCTTAATAATTAATCTATTTATTATCAAATTGATTTATAATTTATATTCAAAAAAATTTATTTCATTTTTATTTTATAATAAATTATTATTTATTTAGAATTTACAATTGCAAAATTTATATTATTTTATCAAGTGAATATTTGTTTTTACATAATTTTAAATTATAGTTAAAATAATATGCTTACTATTATGCTTACTTATAAAATTAAAAATATATTATTAGAAATTTATTTATTGTTAGTTAAATTTATTGATAATAGCATATTTTATTATACATGATCAAATGTGATTACTATTTAAAAAATATACATATGTGTAAACAACATTTTATTTGTAACTTTAATTAATTACACTATAAAAATAAAATTATCCATAATTAATAAAACAAAATTATCTATTTATATCATAACAATAATTACAAGCATTCAAATAAATTCTAATATTAAAAACAATATAATGACTACACTATCGCTGCTGAAGGATAGGTCAGAATACGGGTCACTGAAGAGCCGACCGGTGTTTGACCGACACTTGAATCCCAGTCCACACAAGGAATGGGTGTCACAAGAGTTTACCAAATGGTCAAAAGGGTTTGCGGATCACAACCAATGGTTGGACGACTTGTCCGTTTTAAGCGCCTGCTATATGTTTACCGGGTGTAAACAGAAGGACAGGATATTAGCGGCGACCATGTTTATTAGTCACGCTTTTTACCTTGATCATGCCATGGAAAATGCCCGTAAGCAACGCTCGGCCACTCTTATGGTAGATTTGTTTGAAAAATTATTGCTCGCAGTATTGACCGGACGTACGGATAATGACTTTTGTATAGGTTTGTAGTAACGTATAATTTCGGGCAATATAACCTACATGGTTGAATAATTAAACCTTTATTCTGCTTGCATGAAATACATTTATTGTAACTTATAATAACTAGATCTTTTAAATTTAAGTTATTTAATAGCTATGATAATTAATACAGCAATTATATAAATATTTTAATTTAAAAACGTATTATAATGTGTACTTCTTAAATAAATTAATTTAATTTTAAGGTAACATCTAATATTAAGTGACAAAACTAATAATTTTGTATATTATAAAACATGGTAATAAATATTAGGGCGCCGATTGTTGGACACGTTGGCCGCGACCGACGCTTTTTTGACCAGAGATCAGATGACATTCACGAGGAATAAGTTGAACGCATGGCTCGAAACCATACGTGATATACATTGCAATTATTGGCTTCAGAATCGGTTCATACCATACGATCAGTATTACGACCAGAGGAGCAATGAGTCGGGTATTGAAATGCATTAATTCAATTAACTTTTATTAAAACAATTTATAATAACTATACTATGTTTTATTAATAACGACACGAATCTATTATTTAAATTATAAATAACTAATGGATCTGGTTAAGTAACGTGATTATATTGTAAGATGTTTATATTTTATTAAGGGTGGTATATATACACACTGTTTTCGGAGATCTGTTCGGAATACACGGCCCCGGAATCGCTACTCAAATGTGTGCCCTCTTTTGATACGTTGCGCACGACTGGCATACAACTGGCGCTGGCATTGGACGATTATTTAATGACCATGGTCAAACTGGCCACCAACGACATCACCAACGGTGTCCTGTCCTACGCCTCGGCCGCAAAATGCAGTGTTCAAACAGCACTTGACGTACAGCTAGTGCTCATAAAGGGGTTGGAGTCAGAGTGTCGCTCCCTATACGACACTATGGTTGATAGGTTGGGCCCAGGGGTTGAGTCCCAGGAATTGAAGGCATACTTTGACACATTTATGGACAGTATGTATGGCTTTCACACCGCCTTTGCTGTGCTCTATGCGTACGAAGAGAAAGATGGACTCGTGTGGAGTCCTAAGTGGGAGGCACTCAGTCGACAGCTCATGGATGACACAAAGGAGATGCAACTCAATTGTTTTAAGGATATTACTATTTAGTTAATACGGTAAAATATAGAATCTAAAATGAATTTTTACCTATAGGTAATTCCATATAAATTAATTTTATTACTATTGGTAGTAAATAAATGATTAATTACATTTACGAGTATAAGTAAATCCTAAACTTTATTTACTTTTATTTTAAATTAGTATAAAATTATTTTAGTATTCAATAAATATACAAGTTTTTATAGATTTATAATTATATAAAGTTTAGTAATGTAGTTAGTTTATAAACTTTAGTTAATAATGTGATTAATGCCATTAATTATTTATTACTAAAAATATTTATAGGAATTAGCTTGAATCAATAAAATTTACAGGTTTTTCAGTAATTATTCTGTTAAACATTTTGTTTAAATAGTTCTAAATTGAATATGGTTTTATCGTTTAAGTTACAAAAAAATAATAACACATCTGTCACTTGTTAATTTTTAATTTATACACTTTTGTAAACAATTGTACATGCAAATTCGTAATTAATTTATAAAAATTCAAAATAATATGATAAAATCAATAATGTCTAAATAAAAGCATGTTGTAATTTTATTTGAGAACATCTGGCTTATTTCATTATTGTTGATCAGTTTAATCGCAAAATATATTTAATGTAAATTTATTCCATAGAATGCTATGTAGATTATTTTATTATCATGAGGCATTTAGCCAATTTTAATAATTATTACTTTATTAGTTTATTAATTTCAAAATTAAATAAAATTTTAATAGCCACAATGACACATGTTATATTTGATTTGGGTGGCACCTTGATCGATTTTATAAGTCCACTCAACATTGCCCTCGATATAACAGCTAGATACTTTGGCAAACAACATGTCTGTCACGAAAAAAGTACACTCAATATTTCATTTATAAA